CAAGTATAAAACTAGCGACTAGACACTCTCTTTTCTTGATACAATGAAATATATATATATATATATATATATATATATATATATATATATAAATTGATCCTTTGTTCCAGAAAAGTTTTACTAGATAGAATCAGTCCAGCAATAATGCAAAACAAACAAACAAACAATACTTGGGTTCATGTTTTGATTTTTCTATTATCATAAGTGACAAGGAATTTCTTGTCACATATGTGAACCTGTTTCATTACTTATAAATATGGGTGTAAGGTAAGGGTGTAATACCCTTTCTCTTATTGGGTCATTATGAGAACTGAAGAAAAAAATAGTTGTAAAAAAGGTCTATTATCTGTGCATCCCAAATATGATTTATGCATGTTATACTTGGCCTAATGGTAGACAATAATATGGTTTGAATTTTAAGTGCCTCCCAAAAGCTCATGTGATAAAGGCTTTGTCCCCAGTGCACAGTGTTCAGGCAAGGGACATTTTGGGATTGGATCAGGAGGGCTCTGACCTCATCAAAGAATTAATCTATTGATGGATTCACAGCTGAATAGACTATTGGGAAGTGGTAGAAACTTTAGGCTATAGGGACTAGTTGAGGAGAGAAAGTCTTTGAGGACATAAGTTATATCTTGTCCTTGGATCTGTTATGTCTGTCTGTCTGTCTCTCTCCTTCCTGGATGCCATGAACCAAGAAGCTTTGCTCCACCAGGCACTTCCTTCTTTGAGGTTTCATCTCATGACAAGCCTACAGGAATGGAATCAGTCAAGCAGTGAACCACAAAAGGGGAGAGGTGTTGAGGGCTGGTGATTTGAATCTGGGAGTCATCAGCTGTAGATGGCATTTAAATTGAGATTCAGTGAGCCCATCTAAGAAGGGAGGGTAGAAAAAGAAGAGATTCTAGGCCCAAGCACTTCAAGTTACAAATTCTATAAGGTAGGGAGGGCTCAGCAAAGGAGAGGGATTATACAAGTCTCACAGGAAGTAAGGCTTGAGATCAACTTCCTTGAATGTGAAGAGCTGACATCACCTGAAAGAATACCTGTCCTGAGCCTACTGTGGATCAGGTGTTGTGATCATATCCCTCAAACCCTCAAAGAAGGGTATTACTGTCCTCACTTTACAGTAAGGGAACTGAGACTCAGGGACATTAAGTAACATGACTTGACAAAGAATACAAAATACAAAAAGGAGGGAAAGAATTTTAAATCAAGTCTATCTGGCTGAGTAGAATTTGAAGAGTAAAAAGAGGAGCAAATAGTTACTGAGTTCCCCATTTCTGGTATTTTGACATTCATACCCAAAGCCTCATGCTTGGAACGTTTACATCCTGGATCTTACTTCATCCCACAACATGGATATGAGGTCAGAATGATTAGCTTTGTTTTTCTAGTGAGGAAATTGAGATTAAGGGAGTTTTAATGAACTGGTCTCACAGATAGTAGGGCTAAGATGGAAATTCATATTTCTCTGATTACCAAGCTGACTTTTTCTCTTCTACTCCTTATTCCTGCTGGGAGTTGTAGAGAGAAAAGATAGGAATGTGGGTCCTGGCTGATATAAGAAATGCACCAAGTGCCAGCCCAAGTGTCTGGGCATGCCACACTTCAGCAGTTCTTCCTGCCCTTGTCTCTTCTCAACCAAGGCTCTAAGTCTTCTAGAAATTGCTCTCCAATGAACTGGCTCCTTGAACAGATGCAGGCAAGGAAGATACTCTGCCTCATCTGCCAGGACCTTTTGATAGCTCTTTTGCTAATTGGGATAAGTACTCACAAAAACACTATGATTTTATGTCAACCAAATTATCTGGCACTCACAATCCAAATTAGAGATTCAAGACACATGGCTGGCATCGGAGGAGGGAGGCACTCCTTCCTGCCATGATTAATGATCTGGAGTTTCCTGTATAGATGGGAAGCTAAGGAAAGTGACTCTGTGACTACTATTTGTGGACCTGCTAGTAGGTTCCAGGCATGATGATAAATGAGTGTGTGTGTGTGTGTGTGTGTGTGTATGTTTGTGTGCACGTGTGTGATTGCATGCATGCATGCATGAGAGTGCATGTAAGACAACTGGAGTGAGAATAAAGGATTATGATTCCCTTCTTACAGATGAAGAAACTACAGTGGTCCCTGTTTATCCAAGGTTTCGGTTACCCATGGTAAATTGTTATCTGAAACTAGTAAATAATAAATTCCAGAAATATTAAATAAGTTCCAAACTGCATAGCTTGCCATAAAATCTCCCTCCACTCATGTGTACCATCCCTTCATCCACCATTTCCACTCTGTGCTATGTATGCTACCTGACCTTGGGTCACTTAACAGCCCTCTCATTTATCTGATAGGATGTAGTGGTATCACAGCACTGGCATCCGAGTGGTTCTTATTTTACTTAATAATGCCCCCAAAGCACAAGAGTAGTGGTGCTGGCTATTTGGAAATGCCAAACAGAAGCTATAAAGGGCTTCCTTTAAGTGAAAAGGTGAAAGTTCTCAATTTACTAAGGTGAGAAAAAAAAATCATATGCTGAGGTTGCTAAGATCTATGGTAAGAACAAATCTTATACCCGTGAAATTGTAAAGAAGGGAAAAGAAATGCATGTTAGTTTTTCGGTCACATATCAAATTGCAAAAGTTATAGCCACAGTGCATAATAAGTGCTTAGCTAAGATGGAAAAAGTATTATGTTTATGTATGTACAGGGACAAGTAGTATATGCAGGGTTTGGTACCATCCATGGATAAGAATATAAAATGAAGAAAACTTGGGTAGAGCACAATTTTCAAGGTTATATGATGAGTAGGTGGTGGAGCAAGGGGCTAGATCTCATTCTGTCAAAATCTTATGCCCTATAGCAACTATGAAATTATTTTCAGTTTGTTTATTTTTTACTTGAAACACTGAACAAAAGGGATTTCAAGAACCTGATGTTCTTAGAATCTTTTATGGTGATCAAATCATTTCAGGAAGATTCAGAAAGAACCAGAAGGCTCTTTACAGGAGGGCTTCTCAAACTTCACTGTGCAAACAAATCACCTGGGGATTTTGTACAAATGTAGATTCTGAATCTGTAGGTCTGGGGAGGGGCTTTCTCTTCTGCATTCCTCACTAAGTTCAAATCTTAATTTCCCCATATGAAAATTTCTCCCATATGGCAATGAAAAGGCCTTACCTCATGGGGTGGTTATGTAAATTAAATGAAATAATGCATAAAAGGCACTTAGTATATAATGCCTGTCAGCACAGAAGGGCTCCATCAGTGGTAGCTATTTTTATTTTTTAATAAAGCAAGTTGTTTTACCAGATCAAAGGGACCAGAGGGTTTTTCTTCTAAGGTTTTCATGACGGCCACTGCATAAACAATGGGAGACTATTACTGGTCCTTGGGGTTGGCCTTTTGCCTCCCTATAATTCCAGCTTTGAGAAGGCATTGAAGAAAGCAAAGGCAGAAACTTAAGGCATGAAGGGGATTTAAAAATTATCTGACCTAGTCCACATCCCTCCTTACACAGATCAAGAAACTGAGGGCCTAAGAGAGCATCCCATAGCCCCTTCTGGTCAGCAGGCAAGTCAGTGGCTGTGAAATACACAACCCAAGTCTTCCCAGACTCAAATTTATGCTTTTCTCATATTATTATTCAACTGATGAATTTGCTACAGATAGCATGTCAGATCTCTCAGATTTGCCCTCTTCTTTTTCCCTCATTGTTCTGTAATTCCTCATTTTGAAAAAAAAAATGAAATAAATAGAAAGTCCCAAGTCTTGAGGCCTCACTTGATTTTGCATACACTAAGATACAAGGCATAAATCAACACAGTGAGTTAAAAATAAACCTCCTAGGTGGCTCTAGCATTTTCTGTTTAGCTTTTATTCCCCTTTCTTTTCTATTCTTCCCCACCCTAAGCATGGAGTAATGCCAACCTTAATTATGCTGGAACAGTTAGGCATTGGAAGTAAAGACACTGTACATGGTGAGCTCTCTCCAGGCTTCCTGTTTCCACATCAGTGAGGTGATTAGCATCACTATAAATAACAATAGCAGGTTTCATTAGTAGTTTGATTTTATTCATTTGTGTGCTCATTCATTCATTCAGCAAAACATGAATATTTACTTTGTGCCAAGTTCAATGCTAAACACTGGGGAGAAAGAAATGAATATGATTTTCTTTAAGAGCTTCATAGTCTAGTGCAGGGAAAAACATTTCCTAAACTGAGGGACAAGGTCTATGATGGGGAAGCCTAGGAGCCTAGGATTACAGATGAATAGTACTACCTAGCCTGGAGGGAGGGTCACAGTGTCCAGAGGGGTGGCTTATGAAGTGTCACAAATTCATTTCTTATTCTGGCAGCACGGATGCCAAAACTGAAATTATTCAGAGCTAATCCGGATGCTAAAAGAAATCTCTAGAGAGAGACTATGCAGAATATTTGAAAGAGATTTTAAGCCTGGGTTCTAGTCTTGGTTTCATATCCATTATATAATTGTCCTCAGACACGGTAATTTCACTTTCTGTAGCCTGATTTTCTAATTTTGAAAATCAAAGAATTTTTTCTAGATTGTGTCTAAACCCCTTTACATCACTGCAATGTGTATGTAGCTCACTAGAACATGTCTGTCTTGAGCTCAGGATCACACCGTCCTTATGTCTCTATTCCAGGGCCTAACACAAGTCTCAGCACTGAATAATATGTGTTTGTGGAGTATAAGAGAATTTAAAATTGGTTGAGGCAATAGGTTAAAAAGATGAAGTCTTTTCAAGCGATGCACTTAGCTGGGATTTTAAAAGCTTGTCTTTAGCAGTAGACACTATGACTTTTGGAGGCCTATGAAAATTTTGTACTAAATGAACAGGAACATAGACAATTTTCAATAAATGTTACTGTTGGCGGGAGTGACAGTAGCAGTGGAAGCCACAGAATAATCTGACGCCAAACTTCTACCACGGAAGGTCTAAAATAATAATTGATGTGTTGTTCACTTGGAGACTGCAGCTCCAAGACTTTCAGGAGAAAAATGAGTTTAATGAGAAGAAAGGCATTCAGTGAACATTTCACACTTGAGTGCAAAAATAGGAAAATGCCAGAAGAAGCAAAGGCTTTCATCCCAGCAAGACAAAAAGAGCCTTAAGAGGGTGAGACTGAAATGGGACAGTGTCAGACAGCAACCAGAATCCGGAGGAGCCTGAGAATAGAGCTCCTGGCCAGATACTCACAGGACTGAAGGCTTGGATGCTTACTTAAGGTACTTCCTGCTTCTGGGGCTGATAAGGCATAGATGTCAGTCTCCAGTCACCCAAATTAGTCTTTCTTTGTGGATGAGAAGTTCTTGTTTATGTAAATTCCTTCTTTATGAGCAGTAAGTTGACAAAATTGCCATAATTGGGTAGGAAAGAATGAATTATTGTCATTGTTATAGTCATTGTCATCGTGTTAGCTTTCCATGACTGTTCAAAATACCTGAAATAAACAACTGAAAGCAGAAAACATCTATCTGGACTCCCAGTTTCAGAGGTTTCAACTCATGGTTGCATGGCACAGTTGCTTTGGGCCTGTGGTCCCACAGTACATCATGGGGGAGTGTTAAGGCCTATTTACCATGTGGTAGCTGGGGAACAAAGAGAGGAGGAAGATCCAGCTTGGAATACCCTTGCAGGGCACTCCTCCAGCGACCTAACTTGCTTCTACTTGCCCAACCCTCCAAAGGCTTCAGTGCCTTCCAATAGCACCAAATGCTGGGGACCAAGCCTTCAAAATGCAGGTTTTTGGGGGACATTCATAAGCCAAACTATATAAATCATTTTTAAAAGTTGTTTCCCAAACAATGACAATGCAAAATGGGCAGTGGTCAGTGAGGTTTGACAATTTATTACATTATATATGTGTATATATATATATATATATATATATATATATATATATAATTATTTGTCAGTTATTCTTTTTCTTTTCTTTTTTTTTGGGGGGGGGGTGGTGGTGGTTACTAGAGATTGAATTCAGGGGCAGTCAACCACTGAGTCACATCCCCAGCCTTATTTTGTACTTTATTTAGAGACAGTGTCTCACTGAGTTGCTTAGTGAATCACTTTTGCTGAGGCTGGTTTTCATTCTCAATCCTCCTGCCTCAGCCTCCTGAGCTGTTGGGATTACAGGTGTGTGTCACCATACCTGGCAGGAAGTTATTCTTAAACTCCTCTGCAATTCTGAATAGTCATCTGTAAAATAATTTAACCCATAAAAGGTTGTTTTAGGAGGCAATGAGATGGTTAATGTAGAGCTGGCCCATGAAGAGTGCCCCAACAAGTGCCTCTTTCCAACCAGGTCTGCTTTTCCTTGGAGGACTGCATCTGTACAAGATAAGGCAGAATGGACAAACAGGACTAACAAAACCACAACAGGCCCAGGTGAGCAATGTGGTGGAGAGGATAGTGAAACTAAAGACTCTGGGCTGTGGCGGGGATGGTTAGACAGCAGGAACTCCCAGAGCACTAAGTAGTTGGAACTGCCAATTTGTACAGATCTGAAAGTCTTCAAGCCATGACAAATGGTTCAGAATCTCAGAGAAATGTATGGGTCTACGGCTCTGGGCACTAGTTCTGCTGCTCCTAACAGCACTTTAAGCACTGTGCATTTATAGGAAACTTGCTGTATGCAGGTCATTGTGATACATCCTTTCAGACATTATTTCACTTTATATTCACAATAACATGTGGAGGTAGGTACTATTATAATTGCTCTTTTACAGATGAGAAAACTGAAATTCAGAACATTTATGTAGTGCTCCAAGTCACTGGTAAATATAGTAAGGGGCAGAGTCAGGACTCACACCCTGTCTGAACAGCTTTGACTCTGACCATTATGCTAGTCTCCATGGCAGCAAGCTTTGGAACTTAGGATGTGCAGAGGAGACAGGGTGAGGGTGACTGCTATCAAGTTGTCATTATGTGTAACATAAGGTGTTATATAATTTCTTATAAAGTCAAGGATACTGCATTTCACAATTTCAGAGGGCACAGGAACCTCACACTTATCAGATATTCACATTTTAAAAAAAACACAAAACAATTTTCTGGTAGGTGATAGAAGATAGATTTGTACCAGGTTGCCATATTGGCCAGTGGAGAGGCTTTTATTTTTCCCAGTGTTAGACATTTGTTCTTAGAATAACCCATGTATATATGTTCTATCTAGAAGTCCTTTTTCAGGAAGCTGTACGGTACTATAATTCCTTCTTTACTCCATCCACAGCAAATTGACCATAGAGGACTGGCTGGCTCAATGACAGCCATAGGCTGGAAACCTGTAATGACAATGACATCCTACACTGTATATTGACCATATGACTCCCACTCCCACTTTTGGTAGAAAGGAAAAGTAGGGAAGAGGGAGAGAGCGATTTTATTATTTATGGTGGCATATTCAATTAGATCAGAATATAAATGGGCCAGTCACCATATTGATGGTCATGGCATCCTTTTTGGGGCCAGGCAAAGGGACAAGCTAGATTATTCTGAGAACGTTCTCTCCCTCTTTGCATTAAATGTCTTATGAATCATGCTGTTCCTGAAATTCTTTTTGATGTTTGTCCTCTGTTCTTTTCTGATTCCTCCCATTTTTAGCCTACACCTTAGCCTGGAGAGCTCAAAGTCATCCTTGTGTTTCACTCATAATACAACCCAGCTTTCCAAAGCTACAGCAGGCCACACAGAGTTGGAGACAAATGCCTACACAAAGGAGGTTTCTCTGCCTGACTGGTCCTTTCGACTTGGATCTCTACTGAATACTCTGAGGAAGACAGAGAGTTTGATTTCCTGAGATTCTGATATCCAGACAAATTGCAACACCATCTCATCCTCATTTCACTAATGAGAAACTGAGGCACCATTGGGCTAGTTTACTTGTCAAAGTCACACTTGAAATTGGGATGCTTATCTCCTGGCCCTGCTGCTTCTTGGCAGCACCCTGTGACCTGCCCTGCTAAATTGGCTTGTGCTTCTGATCTTATCCCTCACCAGGCTCTAAGGAGAAAACAAATCTATGCCTTCTTTTTGCCTAGAGTAGAAGATCCATTTCCACTAAGACTATCACTGTGTTGGTTCTAATGGGTCAATTTTTCCTTCTTGCCATAGATTTTTCTGTTATCATCAGTGAGTGACTAAACACCTCTTTCAGCAGGGTAAGCAACTTCAAGAGGAGCCCATGGTGTCTCAAGTGGACTCTTACCCACTTCTAAACAGTTTCAAGGCACTCCTACTTGTTACTAACTGTTGTCATAAGAATAGCAATATTGATATAACTAATGTCAATTCTTTTCAGTTGATGATCATCGTCATATAGATCATCACCGCATTGATCAATTTATTTGGGTGTCCAGCAAACATTTATTTTAGTTCAAGTTTTGTGCCAGGCACTAAGAATACAAGTATAATGAAGTAGAAACACATGTTATTTTCTTAGCAGCAGACAATTTTGCTAGAGAGAGACCCAATACCATGGGTTATTCTTTGGTTACTCTGCTTATGACAAAAAGGTCCTAGAGAGATTGAATATCTTCTCCCCAAGATTTCTGAGAAGTTGGTGGAGCTATTCTTCATGACACAGAAACAGGATTTATCTTCTGAGTAAAGGGGAGATGGCAAGAGGAGAAGAATGGAGAAGCTGGGGAGGAAGAGGCAGGGGCCATGCTCTGTAGGCTGGCCTAAGGTCTTTCCTCAGGACTCCGTAGATCTTTAACAAGATTGCTCAAGTCACATATTGGCTGGAGTGGATGAGCTTGATTTGTGGAAACCGAGGAAGAGGGTTGATGAGCAGAAAAGAAGGAAGAGCACTGGTAGTGGATAAGCTGGGATGGGAAGAAGGAAGGCTTCCCTAGACTGTGCTTTCAAAGAATATGAAAGCCCAAACCAGGCCCTCAGAAGCTCATGGCCCAGGAATTTGGCAGATGATAAAACTGGGGCAGGGCTCTAGAATATAGGGGAGCATGGTAAGCAGTAAGTACCCCAAGAATAGGCCATTTACCTCTGCCTAGAAATTACACAGTAGGAGGTGACAGGCCACCTATAATAAAAATGAACAGAAAGTCTCTGGACAGACATCAGGAGGGCATTGGTTAGCTGTGAAAATGCAGAGACACATTGAGTATTTGCTGTGTCTGGGAAGTCAAGTGCAAGGAAGTACAGAGAGAAACTGGCTGGTGAGGAAGATGGGCCACACCTGGGTTGGGGGGAACGTATGGCAGAGCAAAGGGTCACTGTCAAGAGTTTTGGAACTTGTAGCAAGATGTTTTTATTCTAAGAATAGGGAAAAGCCTGTGTTTTATACTGAAGAAATTCAGTCCAGGTAAAGCAATAAGGCTATTAGGCAGAATGGACCAGCTGCCTGGGGAATTGGGCAGAAATCATCACCCCTATCAATGGGTCTACCAAGGACACCCACATTGGAATAGGTGGCCTTGTGGGCAGACACTGTAAAAAGCCAGTAAGACCTGCTCTTGGCTTGGTGCAGGTGTGTTACTTACTTGACACCAAGCAGGTGGGTTGAGAATGCTGTTTGACTACAGGAATATTATGGAGCACATGCTATCTCTAGGTATGAGCTCTCTGCTTGGGTCAGGGAGACAATCTAGAGTGTTCTTTCTCTACTTTAGGTAACATGGAATGTGGAAGTCACCTCTGCTGATCTGTAGCATCTACTATCAGGTTTGGACATTTATTTGGGAATGTATTATGTGCCAGTCTTGGTGACAAATACTTGCACATTGGTTAGTTCCCTTACTCTTCTCAACAAGCCTGAATGGATGTTGGTGCTTCTTTGTGTTGTTATCTCTTCACTGATAGGTATAGTATCCAGAGGTCACATGAGTAAGTTCAATAATTGGATGAGAAAAACAGAGTTTGAACTTAGAAAAATTAAATACTTCAGATTCCTTTATTAACACTAAAGCAAGCTTCATGGCACTGTGGTCTATAAATTTTTTTTTTTAAAAAGATGCCACACTCTAAAACTAAAGAAGTTCACTTTCTGGAGGGAAAACAGCTTTACAAATATCTCCTTGCAATGAATCATTGTGACCTTTACAATTCCAGGAGGCAGGTGCCATTATTACCCACATTTTACAAATAAGGATACTGAGACACAGAGAGGTTGAATCATTGTCCCTGTGTTACATGCTTAAAAGTGGAAAGCAAGGATACAGAGGCCAGCCCTTAACCTCAGCACTATACCATGCTCTGACCTAGAGTTGGTGACATCATTACTCCCTACTCCATGACCGGTAACTCTGAGATAATGATTCTCAGTTGGGGGTGATTTTTCCTCCTAGCCATAGGTAACCATATCTGGAGACATTTAACAGTCCTCACTAGGTGAGAGGGTACTTTTGGAGTTTAGTGGGTAAAGATCAGGTATGACGCTGAACATGTCATTATGCACAGAACAGCTGCCACAACAAAGAATTAGCCACCCCAAATGCCTACAGCACAGATGCTGAGAAACCCTGCTCTCCTAGAGCACCTGGGAGACTGCTGTAAGGCATGGCCTCTTGTCTGTCTTGCTGTGTGGTGAGCTTGCCTATGCCTACCACAAAGCTGAGCCTGCAGTGAAGATCTATAAATGTCTTTGGAATAAAGAAATAAATGAATGAATGAAAAAACATACAACCAGGATTGGAAATATCAATTAATTCTGGCCATTATTCATTAAATCATACACTTTGATTTTAAAAAACAATACACAAATAATGAGCTGGAAATCACTGTCCCCAAAATGATTTTCAGTGGGAGAAGCAGCAGACAAGCACACAGAACTATGGGCCAATGCAAAAAAGTGAGGCACAGAGAGAGTCATCTGGGGCAAGGAAGTTCCAGTCTCAGGCTTCAGTGAGAAATGTCCCTTGGCAAATAAAGTGATGGCTTAAGATCTACTGGGCACACTTGGATTTTCATTTTTGATTTTTTAAACATATGAACTCAATTAATATTTGGAACAGGGTGAGAATGTTGGATGACACTAAAAAGCATCTCCCTCTCTACTTTCCTGTGCTGCTATCCAAGGCTGGTTTCCCTGCATCCTCCTTATTGTGGATATTCAAGATTGGTATTGGAGCAAACAGACAAAAAATACCAAGTGATGACTAATTAATTAAAGACCTAGAAAAATTACAATGTTATTTATTGCTCAATTACAGTAATTATTTCATCTGTGTTTGTGGTACAATTATCTTCCCTTTCTCTGCATGGTTTCTGGCTCCTCCTCTAACTACCCACTCTACTCGTATGTTGGTGTTTTTCTTTGTCACTGCATATCCTTGGGGAGAAATAGATGAGATATTAAATTGCAAAAAATGACATTAAGACTGAAAGTACCTCAGTGACCTATTTCATTTCACATGTAAGTGAATTGAGCCTTAAAGGGCAAAAGGACTTACCCCTTTAGAAAGACCAAGACACCCAGTGGGAACTTGGATTTCAGAATGCAACTAACTTTGCGATCCCATGGCAACCTAATATCTATGAAGTATGCATTTTACTTTTGCATACAGCAAGTGCCTAATAAACAGACATTTGTAAAAAGATACCAAGAAACCTATATCCTTACTAAGTGCAGAATGACTTCTCTTTAAGATCTGAACCTCTGACAGTTCCGTGTTGTCTGGCTTCCTTCAAGACACATGGATGTTTAGGGGAGAGAAATACAGAGGAGAAGAGTTTTCTTTTTTTCCTTCTCTTCAGAATCAATTTTCATGTCTAAATTTAGAGAAATGACAGGTGGTGCAAGGGAGTTCCTCTGGATTTCTTTTCTTAATGAAGCAGAATGACACAAGAAAAGAAAACGGGGCTCTGGGAAGGAAGCCTGAGGTCCCATCCTGGCTCTGACTATACCTGATCTTGGGAAAGTTATCTAAACTCGATGCCTCAGTTTTCTTCTGGAAATATGTTTATGGCTACCCTATGTGGTTGCTTTTAGGAGTGAATGTGAATGTGTGTAGCACAGTCCATCCCAAAGTGCACAGAAGGGGCTCAGCATACAGCAGTTATAAAAGCCTTTTGGAGCCAGGTGCTGTGGCGCATGCCTGTAATTCCAATGGATCCGGAAGCTGAGGCAGGAGGATCACAAGTTCAAAGCCAGCCTCAGCAAAAGCAAAGCGCTAAGTGAGACCTTGTCTCTACATAAAATACAAAATAGGGCTGGGGATGTGGCTCAGTGGTTGAGTGCCCCCAAGTTCAATCTCTGGTACCTCCCATCCCCTGCCAAAAAAAAAAAGGGCTTTTGGTAGATCTGACAAGAAAGTGACAGACAGTACTTTTTTGTCTCTAGAGGATAATCAGCAAATTTGATTTCCAACAAATTCAGCAGAGAAAGAAGGGTAAAGACTGGTTATTCAAAGAATTTGAGACTGATGTTGAAAATGTACCTTGCATTGGGACCCCTGATGTTAATATAAATGAAATAATGATCTTGTTACAACTTCTGCTTGTATGGTGCTCAGCTTTGCAAGAATTCATTTAGTCCTCCCCCAAATCCCATGAGTTGCTGCTAGTATTCATTTTTCATAGCAGAACTACAGCTCAGCCAGCTGAGGGGCACTGCTCAGTCACTCAGGAGGGTCAACAGGAGCTGGAACTTAGTTCTTCTGATGATTCTATTCCAAAGTGCGTGGTCAAGGTGATCCTGATCTCTCAAGCCCAATGCCATCCTCCCACCCACCCCACCAGCTACCTAATGAGAGTGGAAACTACACAAGTAAGTGGTAATCTCTTTACTCAACAAAAATTATGTTCTGCTGCTGCTGCCCAAGGTAAGGGACTTACATTGGCAATAGGGGAGGGGGAAAACAGGTTTGGAAGGAGGAGCAGTCACTCCAGCACCCTGCCCCTATATGCAGCCACACACAGTGCACTTCTCTGGGCTCATGTGATGGTTTGAGATTTTCACTTTGAATGGAAATGAGGCAACAGAGGGGATTGATACCTCAAACTAAATATCAGTTATTTTCCTACCTCTCCTTTGTTATTAGTTGAGCCCCTTTGATTACTACACATATAATTTATATGAATGAATGTATGCACATATATATGTATATAATTACACATACATGCATATACATGTGTGTATATATATACACACACACATTTTTTGAGTATTGTCATATGTGATCAATACTAAATTTTCTATGTAAACATGAGACACAAAAAAAATTAGTCCTTAGCTTAATTTTTTCAAACTTAGATGAAGTTTCTCTTATAATGAAATAGGAAAGGAGCTAATATTTATTGTCTTTGGTAACTATTAAAGCTACTAAGATATTAAATCTGTGATATATCAGTTAATCCCTAAAATAGCAGTGGAAGCTAGATAATATCCCCATTTTTATAGGTATGGAAACTGAGGTGCCAAGAGAATGTATAACTTTATCAAGGTGATACATTAATACGTGGCAAGGGTGGGAGTTAGCCCTTACTCCAGCACCTGCTGTCTTAACCTCCATTGTGACTAGGGTTACTGTGAGCATTGGCTCTGAGGTTAAAGTCTGAATTCAGATCATCTCCCACTTTTACCAGCTGTGTGAACTTGAGCAAGTTATTTAATTCCTTTTAGCCTCAGTTTCTTTAGCAGTTAATTGAGGATAGAATCTGTTGCCTTACAATAAATTTGTAATAGGTACAGGTTAAAAAAATAAAGATTGGCAGAGTATAAATTATATGGGGCAATATTTTGGAGAAGAGGGGAGTATTGCTTTGTGGTTAATAATGCTATACTTGTATTGGGAGAATCTGTCTATGCCTGGTGAGTCACCAGGCAGGATAGATGGGATGGCATGGACACAACATACCAAGACTGCATCAGATGTTCTTTGGTGCTAGTAAAGGAGGAGGAAGACCCTGGAATGTAAAACATGCAGTAGCAAATTATAACAGCCCCCAACACAGGCAGGGCAGTGTGGCATGTGGATCAAAGTGAATGCATCTGCAAGTGAACACGTGGGGAAATCGGGCTCATCATCCTGTCCATTGTGATTCTGCTGTTGCGTGTGTACTGACTGCTCTTAATTGCTGTGTGCTGTTCTTTTCATACTCTGGAAATGGACTGAATGGACCACAAAATGTATTTCAAAAGACAGGCAATCTGTGGTGAGAATAGAAACCTCCTTTATCTTTGTATAAAGAGGCCTGCATTTTACAAACATGATAAGAGCAAGATGATGACTTTCCCAGGGTAGAATGCTGATTAGAAAATGAACATGATTTTTTTTTGGGGGGGGGCATTGGGAAGATGGAATGATAAGTGAGTAGGAATACTTAGCTTGGTTGATTCTGTTTCTTCACCAAATACTGACAGGGGTTCCTTCCCACACTTGGGGAAAACACTAGCTCTTTGTCTTGGTTTCTTTTTGAAGGGAGACCAAGGAGATCATGTGCTTGATATTTTGTCAAGTGTTGGCACTATGCTGAAGGACAACACTCTCTCTAAGGGCATGCTGTGTCCCATGAGATATTTATAATAAGAGGGTTTATGGCCACAAAGTTTGTAAAAACTATCCTGTCCCACTGAAAGTTCAATGCCAAAGCCAATTTCTTTAGATCTTTGGAAGGTTCTGCAACAAACAAACTAGATATTGTTTCTTAGTTTATTTACTCATTGCAATTTTCTGCTTACTAAATAGATTTGGTCCAAACACAATTTTTTTAAATTTTAACAACAAATACACTGCAGGTAATGTTGGCATATAAGATCCGCATCACAGTCCTAGGAATCAGGACCCATGAAATTTGGTCCTGGTTTGATACTAACTTGCCATATGATACTGAGGAATAGCTTATTTGCCTCAGTTTACTCACCTAGCAAATGAGGACAGTCTATTGAGCTTAACTTATCACAAAGAGCTGCTCTGCAGTCAAAATGCTATCAGTGATAACATCATCAATTTTAATTCTTAGAAATAATGCATTAATTGCTGTGGTCAATGTGTGGTTCCCCCAAAATTCATATGTTGAAACCTAATGTAGTTAAGCACTGAATTTGTTGGTGCCACGATCTTGAACTTATTGGACTTTGACTGTAAGCAGTACATTTCTGCTGTTCATATATTGCTCAGTATAAGATGTTTTGTTAGAGGAGCTCCGATGGACTAAGACAGTAATGTAACAGGTTACTGTATTTCTTTATATTTATAAGGCTCATAAGAAAGCCTTTATTTCACTTTCATGTAAGACAGCAAAACAGAACTTAGCTAGTCCTGGCTGATACAGCAGTGTTAATACACTACGCCCTTACAGTTTTCTTGGCATTATCTATAAAATGAAGCCAATTGTTAATAATTACATAAAATAAAATACAAAATAGCTAAGTTTAAGCATAGTAGATTCACAAAAAATAGCTGATTCATTTTGCCTTTTAGTGATTTTCAATATTAAGTATTAAACAGTATTGATAATGAGTTTACCTGAAATTATACCCTGACATTCTATTAATTCACAGCAAGAAAATAACAGTATTAATAATATTTTTATTATTATATATTTTCTACATAGTGAAGCCTCTTCTTAGGGCTTTCTATTTTGTTAATAATTTCATCTGTTGAAGAAATTAAACAAACAACACATAGAATTAGGTAAAGAAAAGAACAAGACCTAGAATCTAGGCCTTTAACTCTTAAACCCATGATCTTAAAGCAACCATACAACTCTGCCTTGCTATACTTAAAAAAGAAATGACAATTTATTTCTCAACTTGAACATAACTCTATCCTTCATTTGGTAATATGGGGCCCTGACCAGAATGTTGGCTATCCCCAAGGCAGGAAGCCATGCAGAGTACCTGTTCTCCTTCCTGAATATTTATGATTCAAGGAGAAGTGACTGCTAGCAGTTCTAAGCCTTCACCATAAATCCTCATGCGGAGGCTGTTCTGGCCACAGACAGTTGCAGATTGGATTGGACGAGGAAAAACTGAGCTTGGGAAAGGTTCTTTGAAACTGCATAATCAGATTATGATAATTTCATCAAAACCCATTTCAAAAAGCCAACATTTATCATTAGTTTTTGTACTTCCTAATTATTTCATGAGAGTTATTCCACGCTGGAATGATAAAAACTCGAGCTTCAGAGAGCTTTTCTGTGCAGTGTATACACAGCCAATATATGCTA